TGTGGAGAGGACAACATCCACTCTGGTTAGTCAGTCCCTTGCCTTCTCTGAGGGACTGAGTTGGTGATGGTGACAGTGATGGAGAGGATATCACTTCCACTTACTGCTTACTTCCCGAATACCAAGAATTTCTCCAAGCACTAGGTGTGCATTAGCTCCCAATCATCCCCACCATTGGGAGGATTGTATGTATGATGGCAGGTGTGATGATTTCCTACTATGTGCAGAGTCTCAGAAAGTGACTCACAGAGCTAGAAGAAGTAGGCATCACCTGAAGCCAGGTAGGTTGTGCTTGAAGTGCACTGTCTTCTCAGCAAATAACATGTGTCTTTCTCTTTTCTCAGTCAGCGTGACTCTGGACCCAGACACAGCTCATCATGAACTAATCCTGTTTGAGGATCAGAGACATGCGACCCATGGAGGCAGCCAGAAGAAGCATTTCAGTTCTATGAGAATCTGTTCCTTACCCTGTGTCCTGGGCTGTGAGGGCTTCACCTCAGGAAGACATTACTTTGAAGTGGATGTGGGAGAAGGATCTGGGTCGAACTTAGGAGTTTGTCTGGAAAATGTGCGGAGGAAAAAGGACATGACCCCAGAACCTCAGTCTGGCTTCTGGGCCATCAGACTTTGCCAGAAGAATGGCTACATGGCCCTTACCTTCCCCCCAACTTCCCTTGCCATGAGGGAGTGCCCCCTGCTGGTGGGAGTTTTTCTGGCTGTGAGGCTGGACTTGTGTCCTTTTACAACATGAACACTGGCTCCCACATCTTCACCTTCCCAAGGGCCTCCTTCTCTGTTCCTCTTCGACCTTATTTCCAGGTTAATCATTCTTCTCCTCCAAAACTGGAGTAAATTTATATGGTCTTTTGTTTACCTGTCCTAGAAATATAACGTCAGTCATGTTAGGACAGGACTTGGTCTGTTTTGTCATCTGCTATTTCCCTTTACCTGGACCGGCACTGAGTTCTCAGTGGACACTCAGTGAGTGTGCCATGACTGCTGGACACAGCCATTGTGCAGACAGCACAGAAGATCAGCCTGACCTGCGGGGAAGCGAGAGAACAGCAGGGCCATCCCTCGTGCTCTCCCCACATCACTGGGTCAGATCTCTGAGCTGCCAGGGTCCTGGTCTCATGCTGGGTGTCTGGCCTCTTCCATTTCATGTCAAGTTTTCACGCTTCATCATTGTTGTAGTTTGGGTCAGTATTTGCTTCTGTTTATGGACAAACCATCCCACTGTATGGATGTCACACATTGTGTGTGCCTGTTCCTGAAAGGATGGACTGTGGATGTTTCCACTTTGGGGCGAGTTCAAACAATGCCACTGTGAACAGTGTTGTACAAGATGTTGTGTGATTATGGTCAAATTTGGAGATTTGTACCTAGGAGTAGAATTGCCACTTCCTGTGGCAACTTGTTCAACTTTATAAGGAACTGTCTCTTTTCCAAAGAAGCTACAACATTGTATGTGCTCACAAGCTGCATATGCTATTGCAGTTTCTCCACCTTGTATTGGGGCTATTTGTAAATGTGACTATACTAGTGGATGTTAAGTGCTCTCTCCTGGAGATTTTGTTTCCTTCTGGCTTTTGCATTTTCCTAATGACTGGTGATGGTGACAGCTTCATGTATTTATTGGCTATTTGGTGTTTTTTGGAATAAAGTCTATTCATTTGCTTTGCCCATTTTAGTTGGGTTATTTGTATTTTGGATTGTAAAAACTTTTTTTTAAAGATCTGTTTATTTATACATACAGGAACTGGGATACTGGCCAGAGGTGTGGGGGGTGAGAGGACTCACTAGAGACAGAGTGAGGAACAGAACAGGCAGACTGACTGAAATGCACTGCTAAGGGGAACATTGGGCGAGCCAAGAGAGGTCTGCTGTGCCATGTAGGTTGCTACCTGGTTGGTTGGGCTTGGAACTTGAGCTGTAGTCGCTGCGGACAGCTTCATAGCACTGTGCACCAGGGAGGCCCTGTGAAAACTTTTACATACTAATTACAGTTCTAGGTATGTCCCTTATCACCTGTATTATTCAGAATCTTTCTGTCATTCTCTGAGTTGTCTTTTTACATTCTGGATGGAGTCCAATGAAGCTCAAGAACCTTCAGTATTGTTGCTGTTCATCTCAGGTATTTCCTCTTTTATTCCTTGTGTTTTGCTGCCGTGCAAATAACCTTTGCGAGCCCAATGTAACAAGAGTTATTCCCTGTGCCTCCTCTCAAAAGGTGTTAACCATTTCTGTTAGTACATTTAGATCTGTGGTTCGTTTTGAGTGTTGTATATGATGTGATGCAAGTCTCCACATACATTCTTTTGCTTGCAGATGTGCTGTTGTGCCACTCTCAGTAGTTAGAACCATTCAGTAATTTCTGTCTTACTGTATTGTCATTGGTTATTGTAGCTAAAAGATTTCTTGAATTTGTTAGTCTTTTCAAAAGGACTAACCTTTGTTGACATTGATTTTCTTCATGAACCCCCATCTCATGGCCATTGGTGTCCTTCTACTTGCTTTGGTTTTCATTTGCTCTTTCTGCCCTTGAACAAAAAGGCTGAGTTAGTGACTTAAGAGCTTTTAACTATGATAGTGGCTTTTACATCTGTCATCTCCTAGGCCCTGCTGTGACGGCAGCCCCTAAGGTTTGCTGTGTTGACTTTCATTTTCACTCATTTCAAAGCCTCCATATTTTCTGACTTTCCTTGTCATTTTCTCTTTCGTCCATTGATAATTGAGAGTGTGCTGTTTATTTTTCACACTGTGCCCTTCTTGCGTGAGCGTCATTCTAGGTAAAAAGGTATATTTGATGGTATCCCACATGTCTCTGCAGCGCTATTCCTTTCTATTTACATTTTCTTCATTCTTCTCCTCAGACTGGGAAGACCATACTCTTCTGCCTGCTCCAATTAGGTTTTGAGCCCTGTGGAAAATTTTTATTCATATTATCATGTTTTAAACTCCAGAAATTGTATTAAGAAGGATTATATTAGCACACAGGGTGCACTGGGCTAGGGCCTGGCCCAAAGTTGGTGTTTGATAAATTCCCAGCTGTTCCTGGGCCAGTGAGGGAAAATTTCCATGTGTCAGCCTCATCGCACGTCAGAGCAAGCTCCACTGAAAGGGTCATCTATGCTGAGAGACAGAGAGAGGACAGAGAGAGAGAGAATGCACAGTTACAAAGGATGCTAAGATTTCTACTGAGGAAGTCCTTTGTGATACCATCATTCTGAATTATCAGACTCCTCCCGACCTGTATTGTTTACACCATCATCCTGTGCTCTCTCTTCCTGCCTCTAATTCTTGCTTCTTTCTCCCCCTTTGTAATCATTAGTTTGCCATCACTTTTGTTTTTTGCTTGTTTGTTTTAATTTTATTTGATAAATTTTTACGTCATTCTTCATTTTTGTAAAAGGTATGCACTTTCATCTTTTTTATCGTCCCCATAAAATTCCCAACACACTTGTTTTGATCCTACTCTCTTCTCCCTGCAGTCATCACTTTTGTAATATGATCTCCTCAAACCTCCTCAAGGCTACTTTCCCAGTCCCAGCTAGTTTTTCCCAATTTTAGTTTTGGGGAGGGTAAGAAACAGTTCTCTCACTCCAGGGATTCTGGTAATTTCTGGACCACTTCTAGTTTAATCTGGGGGCACACCCCACAAACACACACAACAAACACAGCCACTCAGCACACCACAGAGAATCCATCACACTGCTACAAAGCCCCTTCTAACATAGCGCACAAAACCCAGACCTTCTAAAACACAAACATGGATTTTGCTGGTAATAATCATACATAACACATGACATTACACACACACAAGCTGTATCACTTACATGCAACACACACCATCACACCCCTCAAATATCCCCAATCACAACACATCACCCAGTCTGCATGCACGTCATCAATACTGCTGAGTGCAGCTTAGAAAATCTCTTATTTCACAGCTCTGTGCTGAAGCTACTAGATACTGGGGATCATCAGTGAAAGATGCTAGCACAAACCCATGATCTTGTGGGACTTGCATGCTCATGAGGAAGACAGAAAGCAAGCAAGATAAATAAATACTCAGTGATCAGTGTACTGGAAACAAAATAGCCTGTGAGAAGGTTTGGGCCTGGGGAAGGGGACACCATTAAACAGGTCACCTGTTTAATGGTGACCTCCTGTTTAATGGTGTCCCCAAGTAGTCCTGGTTAAGGGGACAGTTGAAGGACTTGAGGAAAAACACCTTAGGGATCTGGGGTGATGGTTCCCCAAAAAGTTATCAGTAGGACTTCAGGCCCTATTAAGGGACTCCAGTGATGTCTCCCACACTAATTCTTTAAGATCTGACAACCTAGACTCCCCATAAACAGGTAAGCTCCCCCAGGTATTGCTCTCACTGCTCGCCTAGTTGTCGCACCACATCACACACATCACCTGAAGCACTGGACTCTCCCCATTAGGGGACATGTCTCTGAAGGCTCTTCTGCGTCCCATGCCCTCTGAGCCCTGAGCGCTACATGATCCCCTCCTTCACACAGCAGATGCCAGGAGGGCAGAGGTCATAGGACAGACCCTGTCATGAGCTTGTCTTTGTCTGGCTGCTGCTGTATGGGGGTGGTTGATCCCCTGTGGGGTCTATCGTCTCCTTTCCTGGTCCTTTGACAAGACAACTCAGGATGAACTGTGCCCGGTGCACAGTTTCATCCACGACAGTGACGGTAGAGGGAGATGCCAGGAGTCATCATGGGAACAGGGATCTCTGTCTGTGAATCTGATGCCTCAAGAGGGGCCTCTCCCTTCCCCATTAGGGGCCTGCCCCATGTGCTGTGTCAGGTCATGATGAGATTTTAATTTGTCCCCTCTGTTGTTGCTCTGAAGGAAGGGTGCTGTTCCTACCAGGCCCTCCAGGCAGGATTCCTGAGTGTAAAACCTCTGGCATTTTGACAAGTCTCCTCCCTCATCTGTCTGGACCCGCCCCCTCATCAGTTTCATTTCTGAGTTGGCTCTAGTCAGAGGAACTTCCCTTCCAGGAATCTGGAAGTTGAGCTGCAGAGGGACTGGCAGCGATTTTGTGACTGACTGCCCTGTGAGGAGGAGTGAAAAAGTCCAGGCCGAGGTTTGCTCTGGGGTGGACTGTGATTTCTGTGTGTGTGTGTGTGTGTATGTGTGTGTGCGCGCGCGCGCATGCGTGGGTGGTGGGTGGCAATAAAGATTACGCCCTACTGTGAAAATAATCAGGACTTTGCTTTCTATCTCTCTCCCTCTGCTTTCTCTTTGGAGAATCCATGCCACATCAGAGATCAGGGTGGGAGGTGAGCGAAGGGCAGGCACTTGGGGTTCAGAAGAAGGGCATTCCCAGGAGCACAACCCCAGGCATAAGGAAGGCTGGTGCAGCCCCTGGGAGAAATCCCCTCCGTGGGAGGGCAGTCTGCAGAGACGTGCTCTGGCTCCCAGGGCTAGTCCTGAAAATAGGGGGAAATAACCTATCCAGTTTCTTGGGTTGGATCTGTTCTTAGACACTGTGTGTGCAAAGTTAAGGCCTCTCCAACATCCTCTCTCAGCACCCTCCCCACAAACTCCCAGCAAGGGGAGGGCAGCAGGGCTGGGAGCCTGAGCAGCTGCCACTGTGGGGAAGGGCAGACCCTCTGCTCTGGTCCCTGCTCCTCTGTCTCCAGCTCTCAGTCCTCACTGGTGGACACTGGGGGTCCAGGACAGGAGCCCACAATGGTCAGGTCTTGCCCTCTGCTTCCTGCCTCCCCACATCCTGGTTTTGCAAATTCCCTCTGCCTCAGGCACCCTGACCTTGTCCTGGGAGACCTGTCCTCCCCTGGAGGGAGACAGTCACCTCCCTTGTGCCCAGGGCCTCTGCTCCCAGCACCAACACCATCTCTACCACTCTCTCCAGCTCTCCTGCCTCAGTGTGGTCTCCATGGAAATTGGACTAAACTTTTTCTTTGAGGCTTTGTGGGGTCCACAGAATCAGACATGGGGGTGTGAGGAGAGTCGTATCACTGACCCCATGCACTCTGCTCCCAAACCATTCCCCTCTGTTATTACCAGGTCAGGCAGACTCCTCCCAAGTTCATTTGACACAGAGAGTCTATCATTCTCCCTCCCTGACTTCTCTTGTCTCCTACAACTTTTTCTAGAAAACCTGTCTGCTTCTCTATTTCTAATAGTACCTGATGAGAACACTTTCTGCCACAAAGGAATGTACTTTACTTGGATATTCTGGGACCATTGGCAGGTATGAAGCATTGAATGATGGTTGGTGGGACTCCAACACTGAATTTAAATGTGATTATTGAATTTTAATCTACACTGAATGGAGCAAATGTAACAGGGATCACCCTATTTTGCCACACAGGGACTTGTGAGGCATCTTTCAAATTGTAATTCATTATGTCTCCAGAGAGACGACTTAACACCTGTGCAGGCTCAGAGGCTCAGGTCAGGCTTAATCCTTCACTCAGAAAATCCTGTCTGATTCATCTCTGCCTATAGCTACTCAGTAGAATTTTCAGGAAGAGCCATGGCCTCAATCCCAAGTATCAGGAAGATGAGGGAGGAAGCCACGTGCTACGTCTGCCAGCTGCTAATGATGGAGCCTGTGAGCATCTACTGTGGGCACAGCTTCTGCCACTGGTGCATAACTGGCTACATTGGTCAGAGTTTCTATTGGGCATTTATTGTGATGATGTGTCCCTGTGCCCTGTGTGGAACATCATTTCAAAGGGAGAGTCTCCAACCCAACAGGCCACTGGAAAACCTCATTGAGACCATCAAGGAGCTGGAGCATGAGAAGCTGTGTGAGGAACATGGGAAGCAGCTCCTCCTGTTCTGTGAGGATGATGGGCAGCTCATCTGCTGGCGCTGTGAGTGCTCCCCCAGCACAGAGGACACAGCACGGCTCTAGCAGAGAACGTATGTCCAGGCTACAAGGTGAGTGAGTGGCCATACCTTTCAGCAAGTACTTCCTTATGTTGCACATTTTTATTGAATTTAGTTAGTCTGAACACCATGATTGTGATGCTAAAAATGTTTTTCCATCATGTTATTTTCTGAATATTTTTATTTTGACCCCAGTGAGTCAGGTCCTGATTTTCTATGCCAAACTTCAAGGTTGGTCAGAACCTATTCCTGTAAAAACTTCCTGTAATGAACTTCTCCTGGACAATGCATTGTGCTCTTTGCCATTCATGGCCTCACACTGGTCTCTCTCATGGCCTCACCTCAAATATATAATTGGAGACACCACTCGTGCAAGAGCACAGGAAATCATCTGAAATCTCAGAGGTCAGAACCACCAACTGTTAGATAGCCTACAGTCGACAAGGAGTAGAAAAGGAACACAGGACGCCTGACTGTCCTTGGTGTGGGTGGTGACAGGTGGGGGGGGGGCTCCAAGAGGTTCGAATGGGTGTAGGTGGGGGAGACTGCCCACAAGTGAGTCCTCACCAGAAAATATAAATAACCGTGTGTGGGGAAAAAACAGGATTTCCCTCGAGCCGACCACCTGTCACGGCAGCTTGCCTGACATTCTAGTACCTTGTCAGGGGGTGTGTGATGGGACTGGCAGGTGAGGGCATGAGAAAGGAAGTCAAGGAAAGAACTTGAGTGTCACTCAGAGTCTACTGGTCCACAGTTGGGATTTATTTGTGGAGGAAAGATCAGGCTGACATTTAAAAGAACATTCTGCGTGCACAAAATAAACATCAAGGAGTAAAATCGAAGTTAGTCCTCTAGAAAAGGGGATGGAAACAGGTCTTAACAAGGATTAAGGAGAGTTGAAGGATTTCAAAATAATTGGTGAGTGCTGAAGCCTTGAGAGAGGTTCAGGAACCTTCAAAGTTTCATACTCAGTGGCTCTGAGTAAGGCTGCCCTTTGCTGTGAGGAATGAGGAAGCGGGATTCCTTCCTCCTCTGCCCTGGTGATATTTGAAGGAAACATCCCCAGTGTGGGGCTCTGTGTCCCCTCATCCTTGAGGTGCCTGTGTTTTGTGTGAAGGTTCTGGATCCTGAGTCAGGGCGTGTCAGTCCTGAGCACCATCAGAGCACTCACCTCCCCCTGTAACCCCATGAGCAGCTCATCACTGTAATGGGGCAGATCCCATAACTTTCCCACCAAGTAGTAAAAAAATAAAGCAACACAAAGTGATGGACGTAGCCTCAGGGGTCAGACTGCGGTGGTCAAAATTTAATGAGAGTTTCACATGAAGCACTGGGCTCTTCCCACATTGGGGACATGTCTCTGAAGACTCTACTGTGTTCCCACCCCTCTCAGCCGAGCTCTGCATGATCCCCTCCTTCACACAGCAGGTGCCAGGGGGCAATGGTCACAGGACAGACCCTGTCATGAGCTTGTCTTTGGCTGCTGCTGTGTGGGGGTGGTTGATCCCCTGTGGGGTCCCTCTTCTCCTTTCCTGGACCTTTGACAAGACAACTCGGGATGAGCTGTGCCTGGTGCAGAGACTCATCCACGACACTGACGGTGGAGGGGGAGGCAGGGAGTCATCATGGGATCAGGGACCCAGGCGCACATTCTCCCTCTGTCTGTGAGCTGGATGCCTCAGGAGGGGTGTCCTGTCCCCGTGAGAGGTCTGCTCCCCGACTGTCCCAGGTCACGATGAGATTTTATATAGTCCCTTCTTGTTGCCTTGAAAGATGTGCACTGTTCCTATCAAGCACCTCCCTGTCAGGATATCTGAATGCAAAACCTCTGGTATATTGACACATTTCCTCCCTCATCTGTCTGGACCTGCCCTACATCAGTTTCATTTCTGAGTTGACTCTAGTCAGAGGAACTTCCCTTCCAGGAATCCGGAAGTGGAGCTGCAGAGCGACTGGCAGAGATTTTGTGACTGACTGCCCTGGGAGGAGGAGTAAAAAAGTCCAGGCCAAGGTTTGCTCTGGGGTGGACTGTGATGTCTGTGTGTGTGTGGTGGGAGCAATAAGAGGAGCTCAGCCAAGTCAAATTGGTGGGGACTTGCTTTCTAGCTCTCTCCCTCTCTGCTTTCTCTTTCAAGACTCCATTTCCCATCTCAGATCAGAGTGGGAGGTGAGCGAAGGGAAGGCTCTTGGGGTTCAGAGGAAGGGCATCCCCAGGAGCACAACCCCAGGCATAAGGAAGGCTGGTGCAGCCCCTGGGAAAAATCACCTCCACGGGAGAGCAGTCTGCAGAGACGTGCTCTGGCTCCCAGGGCTAGTCCTGAAAATAGGGGGAAATAATCTATCCAGTTCCTTGGGTTGGATCTGCCCTGTGAGTGCAAAGGAAAGGCCTCTCACTCCCTCCATCAGCACCTCCCCATACACTCCCAGCAAGGGGAGGGCAGCAGGGCTGGGAGCCTGAGCAGCTGCAGCTGTGGGGAAGGGCAGACCCTCTGCTCTGGTCCCTGCTCCACTGTCTCCAGCTCTGATTCCTCACTGGTGGGCTTTCGGGTGTCCAGCACAAGGAGCCAACAATGGTCAGGACTTGCCCTCTGCTTCCTGCCTCCCCACAACCTGGTTCTGCAAATTCCCTCTGCCTCAGGCTCCCTGACCTTGTCCTGGGAGACTTGTCCTCCCCTGGAGGGAGACAGTCACCTCCCTTGTGCCCAGGAACTCTGCTCCCAGCACCAACTCCTTCTCTACCACTCTCTGCAGCTCTCCTGCCTCAGTGTGGGCTCCATGGGAACTTGAATAATCTGGAGCCCCTTTTACTTTGTGGGTCCAGACAACCAGACATGGGGGTGTGAGGAGAGTCAAGGGTGATTGTTCCCAGGACTCTGCTTCCCAACCATTCACCTCATTGTTGCTAGCAGGACAAAGCAGTAAATCAGGGCTGACTCCTCCTGAAGCTCATTAGACATGGAGAGAGTTTCACTCTCCCTCCCTGAGTTCTCTTCTCTCCTGAGACTTTTGTGAGCCCCCTCAATCCTATTCTAGCTCTGTTAGTACCCGAGCACTCTCACTGTCTCCCGTGATGAATATTCTGTACTTGGATATCCTGGGACCATTCTCAGATGCTAAGCATTTAATTATGGCTGGTGAGACTGAAACACTGAATTTAAATGTGACTGAATTTTAATCTAAGCTGAAGTGGGCAGGGTATTCCCTGGTGGTGCAGTGGTTGAGCACTGGGCTGGGAAGCTGTCCGCAGCCTCTGCAGCGCCAGTTCGATCCCCGGCCACCAGCGAGGGTCCCATATGGCGCGCAGAACTCTCCTACTGCACCCACTATCCCCTCAGCAGTGTATTTCATCGGTCTGCCTGTTCTGTTCCCTGCTCTGGCTCTGGTGAATTCTCTCACCCTCCCGTGCTTCTGACTGTACCCAGTGTTTGTATATATATATAAATAAATAAATATTTAAAAAATAGATAAATACTGAAGTGGGCAAATATGACTGGGATCACCCTATTCTGCCACAGAGGAACAGGCGAGGCATCTTTCAAATTGCATCCATTTCTCTCTCCAGAGAGAAGACTTCGACACCTGTGCAGGCGCAGAGTTTCAGGTGAGGCTTCTGTCCTTCACTCTGGAAAATCCTGTCTACTTCATCTCTGCCTCTACCTGATATTGGAGCTTTTCAGGAAGGGCCATGGCCTCAGCCACAGCTACCAAGAAGATGAGGGAGGAAGCCACGTGCTCCATCTGCTTGGAGCTGATGACAGAGCCCGTGAGCATCCACTGTGGGCACAGCTTCTGCCGCCGGTGCATAGAGGGCATCCTTGAGAACGCACAAGGGACGTCATCCCTGAGGGAGCCCCAATGTCCCCTGTGCCGGGCACCATTTCAAAGGGCGAGTGTCCGATCCAACAAGCAGCTGGAAAACCTCATTCAAACTCTCAAGGAGATTGACCTTGAGAGACTGTGTGAGGAGCACGGGGAGCGGCTCCACCTGTTCTGTGAGGTCGACAGGCAGCTCATCTGCTGGCGCTGTGAGCGCTCCCCCCAGCACAGAGGACACCGCACGGCTCTAGTGGAGGACGTGTATCCAGGCTACAAGGTGAGTGGCCAGAGACTTTAGCAAGGACTGCCTCTCAGGTTGCACATTTTCACTCCAATCAGTTGTAGTGAAAACCATGATCGTGACCCTAAAATAATTTTGTACCATATCATTTTCCTGAATTAGTTTATTACACGTCCATGTTGAATTTATTACAGGTCCACCCCGTGTCCATCCTGACCTTCAAGGTTGAGCAGAATCCTTTCCTGTAAGAACTTCCTGTAATGAACTTCTCCTGGACAACAGATTTTGCTCTTTGCCACACCAGCCTCGTTCATGGCCTCACCTCGCATATTTAATTGGAGACACCACAGCTTGCAAGAGCACAGGGAAGAATCTGAAACCCCAGGGGTCAGAACCACGGCCTTTTAGTTAGCCACAGTGTAAGGAGTGAGGAAGGAACATGGGACACCTGATGTCCCTTGGTGTGGGTGGCGAGGGGGCCACCAATGGGCGGGAATGAGTGTAGGGGGAGACTGCCCAGAAGTGAGCCCAGAGGTGAAATACAAAATAACCATGTGTGGAGAAGAGTGAGGATTCTTCTCACTTGCTCAGGTGAGGCCGTGAGAAAGGAAATTAAGAAGGAATTTGGTATTTCTCAGAGTCTAAATCCTGGTCCAAATTTGGGATTTTATTTGTGGAGGGAAATACTAGGTTGACATTTAAAAGAAACTTCTGAGTTCACAATATAAACATCAAGGAGTAAAATCAAAGTTAGTCCTCTAAGAAAAGGGGATGGAAACACATTTTAGCAAGGATTAAGAAGGACAGTTAAAGGATTTAGAAACAGTGAGTGATGAAGCCTTGAGAGGTTCAGGCACCTCCCACGTTTCTCACACAATAGCTGCTAAAGTGAGGCTCCCTGTGCTGTGCAGGAATGAGGAAGTGGGATTCCTTCCTCCTCTGTCCTGGTGACATTTGAAGGAAACATCCCCAGTGTGGGGCTCTGTGTCCCCTCATCCCTGAGGTGCCTGTGTCTTGTGTGAAGGTTCTGGATCCTGTGTCAGGGCGTGTCAGTCCTGAGCACCATCAGCGCACTCACCTCCCCCTGTAACCCCACGAGCAGCTCATCGTTGTGATGGGGCAGATCCCATAACTTGCCCACCAAGTAGTTAAAAAAAAGCAACATAAGGAGATGGACGTGGCCTCAGGAATCTGACTGTGGAGGCTGAAATATCGTAAGAGTTTCAGTTCTTACTAGATGGAAGGTGTGAGCGACTTAGTTATTGCCTTCATGACCTGGTTTCCCCATCTCTTAATAGAGGCAGAAAACGTGAGAAACTGTGTGACAAGGAACCCTAGAGATAGGTATGGAAACTAATCACTCTAAGTTGACTTCATGACAGTTCTTCAGGTGACAGCAGAGCTCCCCCTCCCCCATGAACTGGTTCTGTAACCTCAGCTGCCATCCTGGGCTCTCCTACCTGACTCACCCTAACATGTAAAAAGTTCCACATGTTTCCAACACTCTGTATTATGATTGGTCCAGCCTATTATTTTATAAAATTTACTTTTAGATGATTATAATCTTGTACATGTAGCATGTCCCCGGCAGACTGCAGTTATGTAAATAGCTTATTCTATGGTCCACAGAAGAGCTGGGAATCACAGATCACCTACAGCACAGAAAGATGCCACAATCCTGCCACTGCCCAGGGCCACTGAGGGCATGAATTACATTAACACCCTTATGTTGCTTCTTCTCAAAGCCTAAGGACTCAAAAATATATTCCACGTTATGGTACATCTTGGAGGCTGGGATTCTTCTAGGTGCCAAATGAGAGTCGTGAAATGGACAAGCCATAACTCACCCAAGTTTTCCTTCAGGAAAAGCTCCAGGAAATTGTGACAAAACTGAGAGCAGCGCAAGACCGCTGTGTGATATTGAAGTTGGACAAGAAAAATGAAAGAACACAATGGGAGGTGAGAATTTGATTTTCTTGATATCAAACTATTTTCCAGTCTAGAATACAGGCATAAGGTGATTGGGAATAGTAATTTTTGATGATTTATTCTCATTAAATCAGACCAAACTGTGGAAACCCAAAGAATATGCCTTTTTCGTTAAAATTTGCCATTAGTTGTCTGCATCTAGAAGAATTTTCCTCTGCTTTCTGTTTCTATGAATAATAATTGGCTAGATATCCTAACACCTCAGTCAGGAGAATAAAACATGCCTGTGCTTCTTACTTTTCAAGTTTTCAATGACTGAAATTACCTCCTGTCTGAAGTTCATGAACTTACCTGGGCACATCTACCACAGCACAGGGTCTGACCCTCTACATTCCTGGTTCCAATATCAACTTTAGGGAACACAATAAGAGGACCAGTGCAGGAGACAATCCCATAACTCAAGCTTGTGAGACTGTTGATGAGGATAGAGCTTTGCAAGAACTTGCACACTTGCACTGCAGACTGTGGGTCTCTAAGACAGTGTCCATGGCTGACCAGACCCTGCAGGATCAGACACATTCTGTTATGGAAATATGGACGTAATCCATCCCTTAGTAATCAAATTTATGAGTCATTTTCCTCTTTCAGGGTTTCTTCCCACATTTGTCCTATTCTTTGTAGATGTGCACATGTGAAACTTAAACTCCTCCTATCCTCATGTTAAAATCCTTGGAAGTTTGGAGGGCCTTACTAGGAACTGGCAGGTGGAGATCCCTGTCACTGTAGCATTGCAACTGCCTCTGTCTCCCCCTTCTGGAATCTCGGGTAGTGGGGAGAACTCCTATTGCTACACACCATATAGGAAACCATGACAGTGGCACAACATCTACCTCAAAACCACAGTCACTGAAGCACTGTGTGACTTGAGAAAGCACCCATGGAAATTACACTTTGTCCTCCCCAGAGAAAACCGAGTCTCTCAGTGTTTTTCTTAGTCTCATCCATCAGGATGATAACTGAATCCTGGCTTAAGGCAATAATATTTCTGGTAACTATCATGATTCTGCGACTCCTACCCTTTCATTCTTTTATCTCTGGGATGAGATGAAGGAAAGTGAGCAGGTGCCAACAGAGCTAGGATCAGCTTTCCCACATCTGAGAGTCTGCCACTTGGGCTGGACTCTGCAGACGGAGCTGGACAATTTTTGAGCTTCAGAGCCCAGGGGAAAATGATCCACAGAATCTCAGCAAACTTTTCTGGGGTGTTTGTCTAAATACACATTACCTGACATTGCCATTTTCCTCATTTCTAACTGAATAGCCCAGTGCATTATGTTCAGTTGTTTTCCAGCTGTTGCCACTTTGCCTCTGCAAAATTTTTTCAGCATTTGAACCAGAAACTCTATGTCCATTAACAATAACTCCATTGCTCCCTCCTCCCAGCTCTTGGTGGCCAACATTCTACTTCTTATTTCTCAATTTAACTAGGGACCTCATATGAGAAGACTCATATGTTCTTTCGCTTTTGCTCTTTGGCTCATGTCCTTTTGCATGAATCTCCAAGATACATCCAGTCGGGAACGTGTCACAGTTTGCTTTCCTCCTGTGGGTGAGCAGATTTGCACAGTGTCTGGGTCCCACCTGTGTTTACTGACTCACCATAGAGGTATGTTTGGTTTGTTTCCCCCTCTCTGCCCACTTTCTTGATTCTAGAAGAACATAGAGCTTCGGAGACAAGTAATCCAGTCTGAGTTTAGGAATCTCCACAACTTCCTCGATGATGAGGAGAGAGATTATTTAAGGAGACTGGAGAAAGAGAAAGAGCAGCTGCTGAGGAGACTGCAGGAAGATGAAGCCAGTCTGGTAAAGCAGAGCTCTGAACTTGAGAGCCTCATCCTGGAATTAGAGAAGAAATGTCAAGAATCAGCCCAGAATTTGCTGCAGGTAAGAGAGGCTGAGAACTTCTAGGAAAGAAAGGAGGTGTCATCTGCTCCCGACTATTGAGTGGAGAATGACGAGGGAGCCTGGGGAGATTCCTGAGACCTGTCTACTCCACTTAATTGTGGCACCGACATTAAAGAAACATTCTTTAAAATCTGTATCCATGTTGCTGTGGTCTTGCAGGTCCAGGGGTCACATGTGAATCAGAAATTTAAACTGTCTCTGGGTAGATGTGGAGGCTTCCTGTTTTTATGGAACCACAGCAAAACTTCCTGCCATTTATTTGCCCTTGTCAACTGTTCGTGGGACCCTTTCTAACCATCTCTTGAATAGAATGGGGCAGCCGAAATAAATGATAACCTCCTGATGCATATTGTCTTGGGCCATAAGCTCTTAGGGAACCTGCTTTCAGCTGCTTGAATCTTCCAGCAGGTGATCATAGATGCTTGGACTCCAGCTGCTATTGCAGGACTGGTAGTTACACTGTGAGGGTGAGGATGTAGCATGAGAGTGAGCCCTCAGCAGGTGACACCTGCTGCCTCTGCATCAGTGGCCCAGCCCCAGTGTCTGGGCATGGATTCCCCAGTGAGGACCTTTGTCATCTGTGATCTCTGATACGGGCTCCTCAGAAGGAAATTAGGTGACTTCTAGCAAAAGGTAACATGATCAAGTCCCTGAGGTCACAGGCTACTGTGAATGCAGACTCCACGGCTCCCCACAAGCCTGAGCAAGTGCGATCACACACTCACACACACTGACCGGGACTATCCTAGGGGACTGGGATGGGAAAGTTCTATCTTGGTATGCGTGGGTATCTCAGGCTGGGTCACTCTGCTTCCTGGGGTGGAGTGTTCATAACAAGTAACCCCATGTGTCTAGTGACATGACATACTGATTTTCCCACACTCACCTTCTCTCTTTGTTTTCACTGTAGGGTGTGAAAGATTCACTGAAAAGGTAAGTCTGTCTGAACACATGGTTAAGAAGTGAGGATGTGATGGGATCCAGAGCTGAATGGAATGTCCACTGCAGAAGGTCTGTTGTCTGTTTATTCTAGGCATTCAGATGTGGAGCTGAAAATACCAGAGGTCCTCTCTCTGGACCCTCAAACTGTGTGCAATGTTTCTGAGCTTTACTGTGATGTGAGGAAAATGTTACAGCGCTACCAAGGTATGTGAAGGAAATAACTGCCTTTATGCTTCACAGCAAAGACCCCTTAAGTGGTAGCCAAGCTTCCTACCTGTCCTGCTCAGACTCATACTCAGAGAGCTTGCTGAGCTGTTTTCAGTGAGTCCGGAAAACTCTCCCTTCAGTGTAGACAGGGAAGCGGCAAACTGTTCTCTCTTCCGGCTCTTCGAATTCCTCCTCTCCAGTTGATTTGCTGTATTAACCTGGCCAACCAATACCTCATTTTCCCATCCTGAAAAATAAAAATATGAAAAGATCTTTATTAAGTGAGTTTTCATGAGAATTAAATGCAATAGCAGGTGTAAAGTGTTTAGAACAATCTGCACCATAATGTTTATTGTTAATATTTCGTTAAACATTCAGCAAAATTAAAGAAAGATAGATCAGTATTCAGGACTAAGGAGAAAATGGATTGTGACGCCATAAATATTTGAATGTTAATGAAAGCCAGCATTACAAATTCCAAAATCTTGGTTCTCATTTAGTACTTGCCATGTTCCGCATATCCACAATTAGTTATTCAAACTAAATTGTTTTAATAATTCCTCTGGCTGTAAAAACTGAAGCTGAAATGATTCTCTATGGCTATAAAAATATTCGGTTGCGTCAATCAACACACATATTATCGCACAGGGTTATGGTTCAGATATGTGTGGCTCACATCTGCTAGGACTTATGCGTAGGGCCTTACAGAGTGCAATGAATGTGTTGGCTGGGCTGCGTTCCCATCTGGAGACTAGACTGGGGAATAATCTACTTCCAAGCTGCCTCTGATACTTGGCAGAATTCACCTCTTATGATTATAGAACTTATGACCCTGGCTTTCTTCTATTGAAGAGATTGTGTCCTCATCTTCTGGAACACTGTCAGCTCTATAAGGCACCCCTTAGATTGCATAGCAAGGCCATTATGTCTTCAAATAAGCTCAAGTATATTTCTTCCACATATTGGTTACTTACCAAATACCAGGAATTTCTCCAAGCACTAGGCGTCCATTAGCTCCTTCAAACCTCCCCACCATTACTGTTCAGGTATGATCATTTCCTACTATAGTATGTAGTCTCAGAAAGTGAGTCACAGAGGTAAAAGAACTAGGCTGCACTTGAATCCAGGATGGTTGTACTTGAAGTGTTCTGTATTCTCAGCAAATAAAATGTGTCTTTCTCTTTTATCAGTCAGCGTGACTCTGGATCCAGACACAGCTCATCATGAATTAATTCTGTCTGAGGAACGGAGACGTGTGACCCGCGGCAGCCCCCAGGAGAAGCATTTCCGTTTTAGCGGATTCTATGCCTTAGCCTGTGTCCTGGGCTGTGAGGGCTTCACCTCAAGAAGACATTACTTCGAAGTGGATGTGGGAGCAGCAAGATCTGGGTGGGAGTTAGGAGTTTGTGGGAAAAATGTGCAGAAGATCTGGGAAATAATCAGAGGGCCTCAGTCTGGATTCTGGTACATCAGACTCTGCCAGGAGAATGGCTACATGGCCCTCACCTCTCCCCCAACTTCTCTTACATTGAAGGAGCCGCCCCTGCTGGTGGGGGTTCTTCTGGACTATGAGGCTGGACTTGTGTTCTTTTACAACATGACCACAGGCTCCCTCATCTTCACCTTCCCAAGGGCCTCCTTCTCTGGTACTCTTCGGCCTTATTTCCAGGTTAATCATTGTTCTTCTTTATTCCTCCCTCCACCATTGCAGTAATTTTAAGAACAGTCTCTTTTGTTGAACCATTATAGAAATATAATGTGAGTTCTACTGGCAAAGAAATATCATCTGTTTTCCTTGCTGCTCTTTCCCTTAAACTGGAGCATTTCTGAGTTCTCAGTGGGCACTCAATGAGTATGCAATGAATGAGTGGATACAGCCACTGTACAGACACTACAGAAGATCAGCCTGACTTGCAGGGAAGCAAGTGCACAGCAATGATCATGCAACACCCACTCCATTGCGAGGTCAGATCTCTGATTTCCAAGGGTCCTGGTCTGACCAGCAGGGTGAGCAGACATCTAGAGTGCTGAGTGCTCCCATTGTGTTTGATACCAGCAGAGTCTCCCGTGGAGATGAGGGGAAGCTGCATTGTATCTGTCAGCTGCATAGAAGAGCAGGACAGCAAAAATAATATTTCTTTTCACCACTGACATGATGGTTACATTAACTGAGAGAACTATTATTATGAAGCAAATTTACTTTTAGTAGAACAGAAAGTTTCTTGAAGAGATTATGTAGTCAAACTGAGGCCTGGGCTCAGGAGACCAGCCTCAGATTTCTTGAGTGACTGACTGGTCACTCACCTGAAGTTTCGGGCCCAGGTTTATTCATGGAAATTACATGCACAGAAAGAGAACATACTGTTTTTTCTTACTGAAGCAGAAAAGACATCTATTGAATTTCCAACAATGGTATTCACTAAAGGAGGGTGGTTCCTGTCAACCTCAGTTAGCTGAGAAAGGAGAAATACTGTTCCCACTTCACAACAACCACTTTATTCCACACAGCTCATAGAGAGGCAGCTCTGTGTGTATGAAAGATGTGAGCACAGAGGTTACTGAATATCTCTTCCTGAAAGGAGAATGCCCTATTATCCCACTTAGGCATAAAAATTATTTGGGGACAAAGGCAGTTGTGTAAAAACATGTTCAAGAGAAGCTCTTGACCCTCACCTTGTTTGCCAAAGAGGAAGGATAGAACTACCAGAATTACCAGAGACACATCTAGACCCTGAGAAAGCACTACAGGCATCCGCATAACCAGCAGGTAACACTAACCCTTGTCTTCCATGCTTGCCCCATATCTTTGCCTTCCCAACATTCCTCACCTAGAAATTCATCTCTCTTTGTCTTATCAATTCTCTAAGAATCTACTGCTCATTAGTTACCTTCTCCAGGAGCTTCAGTTCTAAACACCACCTGTGCTCCTAGTCTCTGAGTTCCTGTGAGTAATAGCGGTGCACGTGAGTCCAGGAAAACTTCCTGCTTCTCCTTCCTCTTCCGCTGCTACCCCATTCACACCACGTCTCTTCACTCTGCTCTCCTGATGTGCGAGTTTTCTCCATCGACCTGAGTGTCTCACAATCCAAATCAAATCTGATATAATGGAGTTCCAACAGGGCCCCCCTACCCCCAGGATATGGGCTCAGTGCCACACAGTCTCCAACCCCACCCCTGACCTCACACCTGTCACAAGCCCACATTGTCACCTGTGTTTCTGACTAACTGGCTATGAATCAAAGGTGTCTTTGACTTCCTCTTCCGGTTCCATCATTAGCTAGAAAAGTTCACAGAACTGAGGGAGATACTGGGTGTTGGAAAAGTCATGACGCATTTTTGCAGCAGATGGCCCTAGAAAATATGTCATAACTTTTCTGACACCCAGTACTTTCCTCACTAGTTTACTGTTCCAGATGGTGGGTGACTATTGGAGCACTTTCTTGTTCAGATTCTGAGAAGATTCATGAGAGTTCCAGGGAGTGTGAGACGGGGCCTCCCATTCACCCTCGGGCTTCTCACCACACTCCGGTGCCAGGCCCATCAGAGTCTCAATTCCATAGTTACTCACTCTTTCGTCTTTGCCCCACAAGAGGTTCTACACCTCAGATTCTGCAGAACTGATTCTTACATCCACCATTTCTAGCCTAGACTAGACCCTCAGGCCCCTGGCATCAAAACCGAAGAGGAGTCTGTGCACTGGTTTTCTGGGACTTCCAAGGTGGGAAGGAATTACCAGACCCTGGAATTGGACATGCAGAAAACACAGCAGGTCCTTTACCCTGGATAGTCTCTTCACCAGGAACAAAGAGACGAAGAGATGACTGTTCAGGAAAATGTGTGGCGTGTTGGTGAGCATGTGGTTAAGGGAATATGCTAAAATCTTTGAGTTTATCCTGAGTTTCTTATGACAAGGACATTGAGCCAACATGTCCAATTCTCGGAAACTGTGTCGCCTTGTCACTCCAGTCCCCAGGCTTGAGGCTGCAGCTTGAGGCTCCTTCCCTCTGACTTGTCCCTTGTCTCTGTCCTCCCAGACCTGGACTCTCTGAAGGTGATGGAAATGTGTGGGGTTGGCGGTTTTTTCATGTTGCTACCACTCTGAGAGTCTGTTAGTGAGATATGGACATGCTGGGTCTGATGAAGGTACTACATGGAGATTGAAATAAGCTTTCCCACCTTCCAATGAAGTTTTCCTAACTTCTAATGACTTATCTCCAATTTCTGATTTTACTTCTAAAAGGAAAAGTGACAGCACCCATCTGGGCCTCAGTTCTTAAAGTGTGATATTGGGGCTGTGTGGGGTTGTGTGAAGTGTTCAGGTACAAAGCTCGAGTCATAAAACAAGACATGGGCTTTTGGGGGGGTTAATTCTTATAAAGACTTAAAAGAATTTCACTTGTGTCACCTGCTAAGGAGGAATTCTTGGGCCACTATTATTTAATCTCTGTGAAAATCCCAGGTAAATTGCTCCCTTCTTTCAGCCTCCATTTCTCCAGAAAAGATGGAACTTCAGTTCAGAAATGACAGAGAAAAGCATTCCTTACTGGGTTGGACTGAGTCCAGATTGGAGGGTCCGGACTCTTGCTGTCTACTCTGACCATCTGGAACGCTGTGTGATAACACCGTGACACTCAGCCTGGGCCACACATATTTAAAATGACGTGAAGAGGCACCAGGCAGAGGACTGCCATCCCGTGGTGCTTCCATAGGGACACTGAAGAGTCTCTTTTCTCTAGAAGGGTGACCACGGTCACGTCTTTCTCTTTATCCAGGACCACATGAGCATCCCAGAAAGTCGTGGGGATGATCTGAGCACACACCCTTCACTGAGCACCGCCTTCACTCCTGTGCTGGGTCCTAGAGCATTCAGGGTTCCACCCCTACTCAAGCCTCTCCCTTGTGCCCCCTGTGGTGAGGAGGTGCCTGTTCCAGGAATGTGGGTAGGTGGCATGACATGTTTGACTGTTGTTTATCTGTGGGGGCGCCCCTTCCATACCCGGGATCTCTTGATCCCGGGATGAAGTGCAGCTTCCACGAGATCCATGAACTGGCAAGGGCCGTTACCTATGAGGATGCAGGGGATTGAGGTTATGGACTGACCCTATCGTTGTCAGCAACGTAGTTCTGGAAACAGACTAAAGTTTTAAAAGGACATGGTCACAAATTCATTTATCTCTGATGAAGATGCTTGGCTTATTGGGTTCATCTCTAAGATCAATTATTTATCAGATGCGCACAGATGAGAAGCAAGGGCACAGGGACAGGGGCTGGTAGAAACAGGCCCAGTGTCCTTTCACCTGACTGGTACTCACCCTTCTTCACTAGAGCCACTGGGGACAGCACGCTGAGGCCTGAGCCTGCAGGGTGTTCAACGATGCTTTCTCCATCCTGCTGAATGAGAGGTCTCTTGAGAAAGGGGCTGATCCTGTGGAACTTTCAGGTCACGGAAATGGAGACTCCGAATCTGGCTTGGCAGGAGAATGAAGAGGTGAAGGGAAAGAATGTACCCCTTGGTAAGATAGGAGGCGGGTCTGCCCTGAAAATAGAGGGGGAGACAGATGTTGGGGATCCTTGGAGCCAGCTGAGCCAGAGAATCCCCCACCCCTCCAGCCTGTAGCTGTGGTCTGTGGTTACTGGGCTCTCCTGTGGAAGCCTTCTAGTGGAAAACACAAAAATCAGGTAATGTAAATATGCATGTTCATAGCCCAGATTGAAGAATGTTGTTTTGCTGTATATGGTTCAGATTTTTTGGAGAAATAAAGTGGACTTTGAAAGGTCAATGTAGGGGCGAGAATATGAGTGGAGAAGGAGTTGGTTAAAGGGGTGTAGGGTATTTCCTGAAAGTGAGCCTGTATAAATTTCAGGAGGCAAGGAGCAAATATTAAAAATAAAGTTATCGGGCCTCCCCTCGTGGCACAGCGGTTGAGCGCTGGGCTGCAAAGCTGCCCGCAACCTCTGTAGTGCCTGTTCAATCCCAGGCCGCCTGCGAGGGTCCCACATGGCGCGCAGACCTCTCCTGCCGCCCGCTGCTCCCCTCAGCAGTGTACTTCGGTCCTTCTGCCTGCTCTGCTCCCCGCTCTGGCTCTGGTGAATTCTCTCACCCTTCCGCGCTTCTGACTGTACCCAGTGCTTGTATAAATAAATAAATAAATCTTAAAAAAAAAAAAAAGAAGCAGCAAACTTTAAAAATAAATAAATAAATAAATAAAAATAATGTTATCATTAGTATTGTCCCCAAGAGCGGGGGAGCAAGAAGATTATGGGATTGTGTAGCCATGTTAGCTGGGAGTTGGAGCCCCCTCTTTCCCGTTGTAGTCTCTGTGTAATTTGTTTAAGACTCCACATGTTGTTCTACAATGCCCGATCCCTTAATGTAGTAACAGCATTCAGGAAATATCCCGCACCCCCTTTAACCAACTACTTCCCCACCCATATTCTTGCACCTACATCGACCTTTCAATTAGGATTCTCACATTTAAGGGGTTTCGGGCCTTAAAACCATTTTCATCACAGTCTAGAATACTGATCTCTCTTTCTTGCAGTGCTGAGAGTTTATGACATGTTAATAAACATTATGTTGTAGACACATTCTAAACACTACAGACAGTGATGCTCTTAAATGTCATGCTACGTGAGGGAAGTGACATCTTCTATATTGCTATTTTCAGATGGGGAGAATGAGCAGGTGATTAGCCTGGGAGAGGAGGAATGTGAAGAGCCTAAAGAGTTCACCAGGAAGCTACATCCCTGCCTGCCCAGGAGGGGGAGAGTTTCAGCTCCACTGACAATAGCTGAACAGCCTCTATATCTGAGTCAACCCAGGGACAGCTGCTG